TTTATTGGCTTGGGGAATGGGGGGTGTCACTACAGTATTTCTGCCACTGAACTGGCTGCTGGCTATAAGTGATAGCAGTCGACTCGGGTAGGTCATCATCTGCATGGCCAGAGGTGCTATTGTTCTGTGAAGCCCGAAAAAATGGATTCTCCGGCGGGTTCCAGAGCGTGGATTCTTCGTAGAACGCTAGATAGGTGTTACGTATGCTATAGCTTTTATATCATAGCCAGGGTAAGTACAAGGCTCCTTATTCTGAACACTCAGGAGTATAGTTTTGTTTTCATTCACTTTGGGTTTTGAAATAATATGAGTTGATGGTCACTGGAGTTATATCTCTGGGTAGACGGGGACTGTACACTGGGATGTAACTACGAAAACCTAAAGTTTTTTCTTGAAACCACATTCGCCAGCTTGGGTGGTCTAGGCCGTCTGTGGTGGTACGCTTTGCTTGAGCTGTCGCAACTGAACAGCTCAACCTTATCATGACTGGCCAAGATAATTTTTTTCCTGGTTTCGGGCGAGGAGGGTTTTTATAATTATCTTTGTTTGGGAATGAATCAACTTGAGAGAGGGTCATGGCACTGTATGCCACCGGGCTACCAGGGGTTCTTGATTCCGCTAAGTAGCACTGTTTGTTGTTAAAATGCTTAGATCTCCACGACGTTTCACCTAGGGATACTGCATTCAGCAACGGAGCAGAAGAGGTGGGCTGCACAGACTGGTCTGCCTGTGTGATATGATTGGATTGACTGCCTTGGGACCCTTGTAGTTCATCACTAAGATTTGTGTTGTCATCCAGGTGTGTAGATACTATATTTATGCATGCTGGTGGTATGGAGCCTGCACTTCCTATGCTCCGTATTGTATTCATAAGTTCTTCAGTGGTAGCTGGGGGGGGGTGTAAAGGTTAGTGGAGTTTTAGTTAGCCTGTCACCCTCATAACTCATTAACTGCTTTCCACTTGCGGTATCTCGCGGTTTTGGAGAAACTCGCGAAGTCAATACACTACGGAATTTCCACGTGCGACACCAACGGGAAGTTAGGCCAGGAGATATCTTACCCTGCTATATGGTGTTGTGGAGGCCGTAATTCTCTGGGGGTCAGAGAGGTGTCTTGCGTTTTATGGCGAGTTAAAATGAAATATAATAGGGTCTGAGAACCTGATTGTTTTTTTCCTTGGGCGACGAACATTACAAGCTGAGTCAGCCAAGTAACATACCCGAAAAACAATCAGTATTAACCCGATGTAGTGGGAGATTATCAGGGATGTTCAAGACTACTGAAATGTAGGGGGATTACAACCGGTCGCTTACCTCACCCGCCACAAAATCACCTAACCTCTGGCATTTCGTTAAACTATCAAGTGGGAAGTCACTTTTTGGGTTTAACAAATCAGTCAGTGGGAGGAGATATTCCATCATACACTGCGTATTCCCAACTGCCTTCGAGATTTCCAAAATATCGAACTTAACTTTCTTAACATCTCTGCAGACTACAGCCATGAGGTCAGGCAACTTAAGTGATGGACAGCAGTTACTGGTGTAACTTTTAACCTTAGGCGATAGATCAGGTAATTTAGCCTTTTCGCATTCATGCTCTCGTGTCTACGGAGGCTACTGACACTCGTTTCCATCCTCAGAAAAGCAAGCAAGAAGTGTTAAGAATGTAAATAATAATATAAAAACTGTCACAATTATGCACATAAATGGAAGGAGGCTTCTCCAGTAGGAGTAGCAATGGAGCTGAAAACTCAATCAAAGTGGCTTAAGAATATAGGGTCAGATAAGTCATACGCCAAATACGTTACGAAGCAAACCATACAGAATATTAAAGGTTTAACTCAACTTCCTCAAAGCGTTTCGCATCGACAAAAGATTATGAAAGTAAATTAATGGAGGGATATCTAGTTAACTTTGAACCAGAGAGGAAGCAATCAAATAATAGTTCAGAAAGGTTACTAGGGTGGAAATAAGTTGACTGCAGCTTCCTTTTTAACGCAGAAGCCAAGTTGGGAGGGGATATTAGGTGGCAGTGGTATCAGCAAACCTCAGGGGAGTCGAACTTCTTGGTTTTTTCATTATCTTGAAGGAAGAGCATCATCAGTCAGATGCCGAGTGGCTGCTCTAGTTACTGTGTTAGATACCAAACACAGAAAAGTGCACTCAGCAAGAAGGCCCAATTACGGGTGAACAACTACAGGCGTTTATCAAATGCCATTTTCTTCTGCTGTTTTGTCCTCCAGTTTTACATCTGTACTGATATAAATGCTCGTGGGCATTAGCTGTCTCGTAACCCAGAAGTCCTGGACAAAATGCCCACGACCATGGGGGAGATCGTTCCATTGAATTTCGGTACTTTTACTGTTGAAATCCATTGAAGACTTTTGCATATTGACTCCCGCTGAATATCTTTTCGCAGCCTGTTCAATATTCGAACCTTCTTTGAACAGGGAGGGGATGCAGCGGCTAATTTCACTTCTATATTTCATACAAGGAGGCAGCCACTTCTGGTATTTTCCCTCAACCCGCGTGGGATGTGCTTGAAAGCATACTGAAAACAGGTGGATTGAAGTGTAGCATTTATGATATGATGTTTTACGGTGATTCTTCACCTAGGGATTGCCAAGGTCAGTTGAAAGATAGCTACTTCAAGACAGTGCCACAGAGCATTGACCGAGATTTCCGCGCTTTACTGCGCGGTCCTCAGAAAAGGCTGCTGATTTAATGGCTTCCGCGTTCGCCTCTAACACACTGGATCTAACCGGGATATCTGCCTGGCATGCAATGACTTCTGTAAACCCGAATGTGATAGGAAAATGATTGATCAACCGAAGTGCTCAAGGTGCTGGACGAATCCATGACCATTTGCATGAGGGAATGGTGAGTCTAGAACTGGCAGAGAATACTAATAGTTGTGTTGGGTTGCTGTCTTACATAGCAAGGGAATTGATATTTCTGTCAATCTGTGGTCAAACAACCTACTTGGTTCTTTTGTTGTAGTGCCATCCGGACCAAGTTATGGTGCACTGAGGTCTCCTACAACCAGGTACTTGCACTTATTTATCCAGCCAATTATTATATTCAGGAGGAAGCTTCCTGTCCCATGTTCGGAGCTGGGATAGCCTGCAAATAACTCAACCGCTTGTTCATTGCTTTTCAGTTCATAGCATACCATTACATATCCCAATCTGATTTGCAACCATTTCTATGTCTGGTGCTGACATGATGAGGCCTCAGTAACTGCATGCTAATCGATAGCTCCAGATGAGACTAAACCTTTGTAAATTTCCCTCATCGTCACTGATCTTAGCCATGAACTACGTTTCTATGACCGTGATAATGTCAAAGCTTTCCATACTGATTACACTATTTAGCACAGTGAATGCATCCAGGAAACTGTGAGTTCGCCACCTAAATGAGTCTCCATCCTACCCGCAGAGGCTTCGAGATTAGTTGTTTCAGTAGACTCACCATTCAAAAATCCACCAGTTTAGATCTTTCCTTTGTCAGTTCTTCCACCGCCTTAACTCTTCGGTTCTCTCATCAGGGGAAAACGTTTTGCGAAACTGGAGTCCGGTTACCTGAAGCTCTGTAGCGATTCCTTAAAGTAAACATTTCACCACTGCTGATTTGAACGCATGTTAAAGCAGTTGAAATCTGTTTTCTGCCTAAAATTTCCCTGTCTTATGTACCTTGAATGGAATGAACCTTGTTAACTTTTTTGGTAACAGCTCACCAACAAGATGTAGGCCTTGCCAAGGCCATATTAGAGACGGTTAGGTGGTTCTGCGTCCCCTCCTTCGCCAACTTTATGGAAGATGACAAGCTTTCAGAGGGTCTTACTTCCCCTTTCTTTGTTAAGAAAGTTGGTACTGTGAATATGACGAACCTCTTAGTGTTACGCTTAAATTCCACCACCTACGTTTATCAGAGCTGTTTGCATGGAGAGCTGGCTTGACGATAATGTCAGACTAAGACTGGAATTTCATCCCCTTTTAATCAGCATGCTGTCACTAATTTTTAAGCCGGCCTAATGCGGAAATGCGGTTCACAAGCTCTCTGAAGTGACACTGGCAACCCAGTTTTTCGAACGGCGTCTTACCTGGTCCCTACCTGAGTAGTCTACAGGCTAGGCCTGTTGACTCCAGGGAGATGCAAACCTGAAGATACGTACTTTACCTCATTCGTGAGGCTTATTCAAGGAACACTCCACACTTTGTAGGTAATTGATTTCGGTCCATCTCTGGACACTACTAATGCCCTGCATAGTGGCTTTTCTGTTGCAAAATGAACCATCATTAGCACTATTACAGTTGCTAGCTTTTCTTTCGAATCCCAACTTCTTAATGGAACTCATAAGTGACTTAGCTTCTTTGGCTAGCCGGCGGACCTCATGCCAGAATAACAAGCAAAGCCTAAACTCACTGCATTGGTATACTCACCATAGACTGCAAGTGCAAAGCATCTGCAGCTTCGTTGTACCAACTTTTCTGTTTATTATATTGCCTACCTGACGACATTGTCAAGTAGAACCCTCCCTTGTCACAAGCTTTTTTGGGGCACCTTAGGTTGATTGTTACGAAGACGTTTGGATTAAACATGGTGTAAGAATGATTAAAAGTTCAATGGGACTCTAGCAAGCTTTGAATCTTGCACGAAAATCTGAATGAAATATTTTAAAGAATGAAAAAAATTTGTCGAACACTGTCCTCAGTGAAACAGGAATAACTGAGAGAGATTCATCCATAGAAATCTCTGATTTGCATCAGTCAAAAATTATCTAGATTTCAGTAAAAAATACTGTAGGCTTTGTTGTGCAAGCATAAAAATGTCAAATCTCAACAACATATGGAACATTCTTTTTTATCAAATTATGCTCCCTTCCTCACAAAACGATGAAGAGACACAAGAAAGAGTCAAAAAATGCACTGTCCATTCTATTTCATCAGATCATAAGCGACGTCGATGGTGATTGATATCCAGCAGTTGTTTAACCTCTTAGTTTTTTCAAAAGTATGCACACACTTCGGATCGCGGGGTTTTGGTTCAATGCCTTCATATATGCGCGATTATGATTTAATAAGGGATTATACTTCGTTGAATAGGATAATTCATGCAATTTAGGAAAGTAGTATTGACGAAAGGTTGATATAAGGACAGGTAAGGTTATGTTGGGTATTCTATTTTGATAAAAATGGATATTTAATTTGTCAAATGTTGATGTCATGATGGTTTTGATATTTGCTACATTCATGTCACTAACATGATTTCAAAATTTTGTAGTGAGTTATATAATTTACTTAGTTGTGCAACGTGTGCTAAGTGTGGGTTAATTATTGTTACATCAGTACGGAATACTGGGTACCACGGGTGAATGCGAAACACTGCTAATCTCAGTTTCAGAAGAAGACAATTTAACAGTGGTTTTCAGATTTCTGAGTGGTATTTTCAGGGTTTTAGTTCTGGTCTGTTGGAAAGCTTTCTAACGCACGCTGATGTGGTAAATTATCACCAGTTGTCACTTAAGGTACATAATACCAATTATTATCTTAAGATCTTTCATTTATTGATAATACACATGGTAAAATCACAGTTGATCTAGTCGGTCATCGCAGAAGTAGCCTGAAAGGTAGTGGTAGGCTGGTTTTATGTATGCATAGTACGTGGGCTGTTAGTGAATCGAAAATATGTGAGGTTCTGCTGTGTGTATGTGTGTACAGACATCGATAGACTGATAAAATCAACCTAAAACCTTGCACATGGATGCATCAGCTCAGAAATAGAAATTCTTATGTAACATTTACGTCATAAACTGAGCAAACCTATGACTCCATAGTTTTGTTGTAAGCTACAGACAGACAAATAGAAAAAATCAAGGTATCTTCGGTATTTTGAGGTTGTCATTTATCTAGGTAGTTCTCCATGGAAGATTTAGGTAGGAAGAGAATCCTTAATAAGCTTTTATGTCTAAGTTTAAAGTTTATCAAGCAACCAAGAGTGGAATATCAAAACTGGCAGTCCATTGTTATTGGTAAATGCATTTTATTCTTATTTCTTCATTCAATTCAGGTGTCTTGGGGACAACCATCGTGCGATTTTTACTCCTCAAACATGTCGCATCGTAATTACGTACGAGAAGAACAGTATGTTGGACCTTATAGACTAGAGAAAACGTTGGGAAAGGGTCAAACTGGTTAGTTTTCCGGATAAATTCTTCAATGAATCATGGTTATTGTTCATATTCTTCTGGTGAATATTAAAGTTTTATTTTTAGTCTACAATAAAGTAATCTTACCACACTACAATGCGTACATCACGAAGATAAAATAAAAATATCAATTTTTCTCGGTACTTATTGACATGTAATACCATTTACATCTCGGTTCAAATGACAGCGTTTACAGTGTAAGTGTACTTTCTAATTTAAGCAGCTAGATACAGGCAGTGATTTCAGTAACCTGACAGTGTGACACTCGATATTTCACCTCAGACAGTTGTGAAGACTAGTCAGTTTCAGTATTCGTCAGGGACTGAAGTTAATTGGAGAATCATTGAAAACATAAGATCACTAGACAGCTGTTCCAATTTAGAATGGGGTTCCTCTGCAGTGTGAACCCACAACCTTGCCAGGGTTCGAATCCAGGAAAATTAGATATCATAGCAGGCACATTACCGTTCATCACTGAGTTGGAGTCTAATGGTCCACGATTTTCTGCTATTGTCAACTCGTGATAGAGGGTGACTATCACCCACCATCTAATGCTAAGGAGTTCCATACTAAGACGAAACACCTGTCCAGTGCTACCAAGTTTTCAATGATTCTCCAGCTGATATCGATCCATGATAAGTATTATCTTGAAACTTAAGATCTAAGTTTGTGGAGGATTAGCATTATGTCCTGTGAAGCTCCGCTAGTTTCTCATACTGCTCTAGTCATCAGAGGTCCTGATACAGTTGGTCTACAGAAATGAGTGTGCCGTGTATAAGAAAGGTGATAGCCTCACAAATAATGTACTTCAGACTTTTGTCGTGCAATCGGATGCACTTTGTCCAAGGTTTTACATTGCTTCGACTGTTTTGACGTTTGCTCCATTTTTTCAACATTCAGTCAGTCTGAAATGACTTTCACAACAGTGATGACAGTGCAAGTTTTTGTATTTCAGAACGTCGATTTAAAGTTGTGGGTTGGAATCATTTCTTAAACTTTTTCGATTTACTTTTTCAAAATCTGTCCATCTTACATAATTAGTATGCAAATTAAAAATCCTTAGCTCAGTTTTGAATGAAACTTGATCATAATGCATGTTTTATTAGGTGCCATATGATTATAACCATACATTAGCTGTAAGTTGCTATGCAGAAGATTCCTTTTAGTCTTGCATTCATTGTGGAATCAAATCCATTTTGAGAACTGTCAGCTGAAGTTCCTGAAAGAACCCTGAACACTAAAAAAGAAAAAAGTCTCTCAGTCGAAAAACTAGAGTCGGTCAAAGGTATGTCCTTATATATGCTGCAAAATATCGCTCATAGGAAGTGGCTAAAGCATTTGTTACGACATGTTTAAATGAGGAAGCCTGCGTACGTTGTCAAAGTTTTAGTTATCTGATAAATATGTAGTTGAAGTGAAGATGAAGTAATATTAGAACTGCTATTCACCCTCTTAAAAAGCACACAATATCGGAAAATCTTGCCAAAATTAGCTTCGAACCAATGGTCAGGTTCTGAAATTGTGGAAATTGAGTAATTTTAAGAGATCATAGGATGACACGATCTTAGTTTCATATTTATTTTGCAGTTCTTCAACAATAAAGAATAAAACTCAGCACCCATGTGCACTTTCATACACAAAACAGTAAGCCACACCTATTTTACGAGTACCAATAAAATTACCAGGCTGCTCTCATCTCAGCGGGTTGGGTGAGTTTTGAACCTTTGACCCACTCGTTATAGGTCGACTGCATAGACCAATAAGCCGCAGCTCTATAAAGATTCTACATTACCTTGTGAGGACAATAATCTTCACTTATTTACGATAAGTGATCGGATGTGTAATATTATTCGATTTATGCTCTCGACTAACTTATCAGTAGTATGATTTTCGGTTTCACCATCTGTATATAAATAGCACTTTATTTTGCCATGTTATACGATACGTCCTGTGATAGCTCATATTGTTTTCGATTGTGGTTATTATTCTTTTGCTTCCTATTGAGGAGAGGAAGAGTCATAGCTCACACACAGTCATTCGAGAATTTGTTTTCAATGTGTTGATGATGAATAGCAACGCTGTACCATAAACCAAGAAGGAATACTTGACTTTTAGGCAGAAAACTACTAGACGTGAAATGAACAGTTTCCATGTTCTCGCTCACTTGTAAATGGAAAAAGTAGATGTGTAATCGCCGTAAATCCACGTTATTGATGTATTTATTGATTATACAGGACTCATAGTTAGTTTGCCTGGTCTCATATCACCTTTTATCGCATCAAACTTCTTTATGGTTTTCAGCTCTTCTTTCGCTCAGCTTCGAACGCTGAATATCATGTAGTTTATATTTATTTAAGTTTTAGTACTTACTCACTCAATCACGATAATTAGTACTAATTAAGTCTCTGTTTGGTATCAACCAGTTGATGGAGCTGTGGCTCAGTGATTTAGGGAGATAACTATTAACCAGTTGCATCACAAGCTGAAGCCTGGCTCCACCTACTGAGGTTTGGGCAGCCAGGTAGTATTGCTAGCCCCCACACAACAGGTGTGACTCATTGCTTAATTACCTACGCAGTTGGGTATTAAGATTAACTCCGAACCTCTCTTGGAATCGCGACCTTTACAAGATCAGAAAAAGAAGGAAATGGTATTTCCTGGGATTTTTTGAACATATTTCTTTTTATGGCTGTCCATTGATATATCCACTGGCTTAAACCATGTATGACATATCCTGGTTATGTCATTCGCAAACTCCTAAGTGATACCAGTGGATATGAAACATTAAAATGAAGTATTGGTGATGAATAGGAGCTAGCAGGGAAATCTAGAATGCGCGTTACGCCCGATTTGGGACTCGTAAGCTGGATGTACTTGCCTCTCAGGACATCGCTTCAAACGCCAGGGCGTTATCCACTAGGTCACCGAGTCTCGATGACCATTTCTTGTGCGATGGGCATAGTTTTTATGTTGTTACTTGTGTTATTCTGTCATTCAGTGGACCGAGTTTACCGATCTCTAATACTAGTAACAACATTTAAATAAATCGGAGATTTTAAGGATGCAGAATTCGCATTTCAAGCATTCATGTGTCATTACAAGCAGGTTTTACTTTGAAAACAATATAACAGGGAAATAACTGACCTTATGGAAAGGGAATTTCCCAATGTCGTTTATGACTTGTATTTATTTGGTTGTGGGGTCTAAGAAATACCAAACGTTTGTGTTTGGATACCATTGATGAGCTGGCAGAGAACTAATTCCGGTGGTTTGAATGCATTTATCCCTTAGATTCGTTGTGAACCTCAGATAGTTCATTACTTTGCATCTTATCATTTATTTTTACTATAATCTTCGCCTAATTTACTTTAGTATTTTCCCTTTGTCGGTCAGTTTTTATGTTAAAGAACTTCAGCTTATATGCTGTAGTTAAGAGCTTTATGCTGTTGCAAGGTGAATATGGGGATAGAAGTGAAAAAATCAATATTCATAAAAAGATTGTGAAAGTAGGGTTTTCTGCATTGTCTTAAAAGATACAGTACATCAAAGCGACTAGTTGTTTTGTCAAGTTACTGTTTCTGTGAAACCAGTCAACTAGTGTTCGTTGTCAGCAGGAAGTATTTCATCTCAATTGGAATAGATGTTCAAACCTAAAATAAACAATTATATATTTGGTTTGTTCACTAGATTATCATAAATTCGTATTTACTACTAAATGTGTTCTATTAAGTGAGTGAAGTATGAATTGAGAAAAACTGACGTTGATTCACTGTTTTCGAAAATTCCAGGAACTTCGAGTATTACATTCTTCTTTACGGAAAACTCACCATGACTTTAGAAAACGCCATTGGTGCATATTTACTAGCTTACCAGTTTTAATGTATTTCAACGATGGTTCTACACAAGCTTATACAATTTAGACTGGGATAACGTTTCTTCCCATTTTACCACTTATTATTTTATTCCATATTATATCTAGGCTAGATTATTTATCTTCTTCCTATAAGCACAATCACAGTGATTCATTGCAGCCTATCAGAAGACATGTTGACCAACAAGTAGAAATGATGTTTTATTTGTAAGACTATCAATAGCTTTTTTATATTTATCCTCTTGTACTTCATTCTATTTGTTGGTCAAATTAATGACACACTCTTTCGAAAACGACTACTTTTAAATATCACTATCATTATCATTACTCTAGTCTGTTCACTTAATTTATGGTGAATAATGAATACATCATGTCGTGAGTCATCGAACAACTATTATAGTGAAATATGTTGATTCACTTCCTTCTTTTTCAACCCTATCTTGCTTGACAAATAACTTTGTTTCAAATATGAGAAATGGTTGTATTTTTTCTACTAACAAAAAGGAAACAATGTTGATGAGCTTGGTTCCAAATGAGTGAAACAGTCACCCATTGTTCAGATCATACTGATCTGGTTAGCAAAATTTAAAAATTGACATGAGAAGTTTCTAACCATCTATGCTGTTTGGTAGTAGTATTTTAAATACAATTTTATTGATTATATTTAGCTTGTTTGATGATAAAAAAAACCGTCGTAAAAGTAGTGTACATTGGTAAATTTTCAAACTGGTTAGAATTGTGTATTTCGTTCTTCAAATAAATAAATATATGAATAAGTATGACGTAATGGTGACATCGAGTGAAAAAGGTAACGCGAGTTTCGTTATACTGGTAATAAACAAAGTTGAAAGATGAATGAAAATGCGACAATTAATTTGTATAAACAGAAACTTAAAAATAACCCATCTACTGAAATAATAATTTCATTACGTCATTATTGAGGTAAATTCTACTCAACTGCAAGTTTTTGTTGTTGTTGGACTGATTTACTGTGTTGATGAGTGCATACTGAATTATGACTTTATAATGTAGGAGAGTTATACATTGTGACTGGAATCCAATTCAGTGTTTTTTGGATTACTTTTCCGGCATAGTTGTTTCACAGGAGTCGTTTTCACTACAGCACACGATCTATTTCGAGTTTAGTTCAAAGTTTGACCAGTCATTGATATTGGTTTGAGATGTGTCTGTATATTCAGGTTATACAACCGTTAACCATCAGTTTGTGGGTTGTTTGGTCTGAATATCTAGGTAGGATCATAATATTGAAAGAGTAAATGTAACTTATAACGTATATAGCTTCATTTTTCTATTTATTTGATGGTATAATTTCAAATACTGTCAGTAAAATCTGGAAAATAGAAGCAGATTGTAGAGGATATCACAGCACTAGTTGATTCATTTGCATAAATTTTACCATCTGCTCTTCCCCTCCACGGTGTGAACACTTCAGTGTTCTGTAGATGTAACAAACTGCAACATAGGTGGTGTGTATCTGTTACTGGTAGGCAGAATATGCTGACGTAGACACTAGTGAAGAAAAGATAGTTGTTCTCTTGTACAGGCCTATATCTTGGCGAAGTTCTCCCATTTACGAACAATTAGAAGTGTTTGGCACTCTTGGGACTTTGAGAAGATGGAGACTATCTTTTTAACTCATACAGATTTCGATAGAGTTGCGTTTTCTGGACGGTTTGTTCCTGAAGCTTTCATTGTTATTCTAGACACCGTCATCAGCAAAATCTCCAGAAAGAAGTACTACACATCGATCTTAAGGGGAAAAGAAAACTGTCTAGTCACTGTTTTCTAGAAGAACGGCTGTTCACGCAGTCTCATCAATCAAGAAGTCAACCTCGAAAACCGACAGACTGATTGCCTTACCCTATATGAAGAACGTCTTCTAGATCACGACAACACTATTGAAGCCTTTTGGAATCTTTGTAGCTCACAAGCCCACAAAATCTCTGCACTCTCTGTTATGCAGGCCAAAAGATTCAATAGCAAAGGAAGACAAGCCAAAGGTTATCTGAAAAATAAGCTGCAGAAACTTAGGAAAACACTGCATCTGACATATTGGTTACCTTCAAATTCATCTACATGAACACCGAATAGCGTTGAAGCGTCATGACATATCTTCTCTCATATCACGCATATAGACAACTGTGGACATGAATTTGACTAGGAAAATGTGGAAATCCTGCATAGAGGTAGTACAAAGAATGCTCGATGATTTTCGTAAGCTTTGTATTCAGGTCAGTGAGGGATCAACGGACATGTTGGCCTTAACCCAATAATGAACCAATAAGAAGCAATAAAAAGGTCAAAGTTGACATCAGCAGGACAACCAAGTGAAATAAATATGAAGACATTCACAAGACGTTGGCAGAAACGGCCAACCACACACTGAATCATCAGGACAAGCTAAGACACCAATTGTGCAGAACACCCTATAGCTCACTTATTTCTGAAGTTTGTGCTGCTTATGTTGTCGAGAATGACAATGAAAGCGTCCAGAATAAGCCATCCAGCCCACAGAACGCAACACCATGAGAAATATACGTTGCTCTTGTGTAGTACTTGCAAATATGGGCTTTTATTTGGTCCCACTCCCCGTTACCAATAGTGGAACCATTGTTATTATTATTTTATCCCCTGGGTTCCTAGTGGAACATAGAGCTTCAGTAGCACGTCGCCATTTCACTCTCTTCTCTGCAGCCTTTTTGACCTGGCTCAACGACTGCCAATTACCTTTCATTTCTTTCTCACACGATCTCCTACATGTCACATTCGCCTAGGATGCCCAACTCATCCCTTCCCCTTCGAGTTACACTCAATGGCCTGGCCTGGCACTTGCTGTCCTCAATTGGTCTTCTCAGTGTATCCCCAGTCCAATCCATCTCCACTTCCTTCCACATATTTGTTATATGATAGGTTTCTGGTTGATTCGTTGCCAGGCCAGAGTTCATTGTTGCTTATTCTCATTACTCTGGCCATCTAAACTTCAGTATCGAACCAGCCTAGGTAGCTATTGATGAATGTCTGCAGTTTGTTGGAGATGCCTTTCGTAACACGCCAAGTCTACGAACCATACAGGAGCACTGACTTGACGTTGGTGTTGAAAATCCGGATCTTGTTCACGCTTTATGCTGAGTGGAGTGGAGTGCAGCAGATCTCCACACTGATTTCAAGTTAATGAAGGAAGGCCAGTTTTGTTGTCTTTCCGATCCTGCCTTTGACATCCTCATGTGTGCCTCCACCTGTATTTCAAACGATGCTGAATATATGTAGGTAGGTGAAAGAGATAACTTTCTTTAGGTTTCTCCCATCCATGGTGATTCGTGCTTGGTGTTGTTGTTGGTTGGGTATCTTCATCACCTCTGTCTTCTCTCCATTCATTTGAAGTCTCGTCTTCCTTCGCTGCCTCTACTGTCAACTTGTTACTTTTCGCCTGTAGATCTTCGAGTTTGTGCTACAAGACATAAGACATAAATCATCATCGTTGGCGAAATCCAAATATTCTTCTGTGGTCTTTCCATAGGTCCAGCGTATGCCCCTCTTCTTCCACCTCACGGTTTGTTGCGTGATCCAGTCCATTCCAGTCTACCACAATCAGGAAGGTCATCAATGATAGTAGGCAGCTTTGTCTTACTCCTGTCTTCACCTCAAGGTCGTCACTGAGTTTTCCATTGTGAATCACTTGTCATGTAGCATCATATAGCATATAGCTGTTGAATGAGATTGATAAACGTTTGCCGCACTAAAACTGTAGTGTTAGAGCAGCTGCCAAATTACTTGTCGGTCGACGCTGTCGGAGGCCTTTTCGGAGTCGATGAAGTCGAGGTGAAGAGTTGGTTGCTATTCTATGCTCTGTCCAATTATGATGCGTAGCCTGGCATTGCAATTTGATCCACACATAATTTGTTCTTTCTGAAGCCATCCTGTTCCGGTCGTAGTTTTGAATCCAGCGCATTCTTTAGTGTCTCCAGGATGATGCGGATTAATATTTTGTTTGGGGTGGATAGGAGCATGATTCGTCGCCAGTTCTTACAAAGACTTAAAGCTCCCGTCTTTGGAAGTTTGATAAGGTAACCCTTCTTCTTCCAATCTGCAGGTACCTTCCCTTCCTTCTTTGCAAAACTTCTGCGATAGTGGTGTGAGCATGTCCACTGTTGTCTCTGCGTCTATTTTCAGTGCTTCTGGCGGAATTCTATCTGCTTCTGCGGCTTTCCCGAATCCCAGGAACTCTATGGCGTTCAGGACTTCGGTGTTCGTTGGAAGACTTGTGTTCACTGATAGTTCTGTGGCTGGGCTGCTGGTGATATTTCTGAACGAGTTGCAGGTGGTGGTGATGGTTGATTTAAGAGTTTTTTGAAGTGCTCAGTCCATCGTTACCTTAGATTCTCCTATTTGCTAACTGGGTTTCCTTCACTATCTCTTATTGGTTTCATCTGCGTCGATCTCTTCCCAGATAGTATTTTGGTCGTTTGAAATAGTGTTGTCAGGTCTCTGTCTCTTCTACAAGCAGCCTGTTCTGCTTCACTTGCCAGTGTGTCGTAGAAGTGCCTCTTGTCTTTCCATTCACTCTTCACTTCTTTGTCCAGTCTACTGTTTTATAGGTTTTATTCACTTCCTCTTTTCGTTGTGCATCCTTGGATTGCACTGATTTATCTTCTGCTTCACCATCTTCCTCTCCCTCCTCAATCAGTTACCATGTGTCTGTCGAGATCCATTCCTTGCCTTGCCTCTTCTTCTTCTTACCTCCTAACACGGTTATGCAGGTCTCCTTCCATATAGCTTTCAAAGAGCTCCAGTGTTCTTCCACTCAGGTTTCCTCAACGATGTTGCCTAATGTCTCTCATTTCGTCCTGATGGCTGGCTAAGGTGAAGATGTCCCTTGTAGTTTCGTCCTTCACTTTCTGTTATGGGTGTTCAACTTCAACTGTGGCCTATCACCAGCTTCTTTGAAGGCTTTCAACTTGATTTGGAAGGTTCCTCGCACTTGATAGTGAGTCATGTAAGCCTACATCTGCTCCTCTTCTTGATCTCATCTTGTGTCCAGGAGGATGCGTCTCCATCTTCACTTTATTCACATTGAGATGAAGTCGATCTGGTTTTTATTGTGTCCTGATGTCTAGTGAAATTAAATCCATGTCACTGCCTTGTGAATATCCTTGTGTTTGTACACACTGCTTCGCCGCCAATCACCAAATCGTTGAATGAGCAGAAATCTGCAAACAGTTCTCCATTCTCATTCATCATTTCACCGAGTCCTTCTCCACCCATGATTCGTTCTCTTCCTGTGTTATTCGCTCCCAGTTTGGCATTCATGTCACCACACCCATTAGAATTTTGATGTTTCACCAAATGCAGTCTAATCCATCACTGATCTCAGTTGTCTGTAGAATTCCTCCTTCTTCTCTTCATCTCCATTATTTGTAGGTGTGTAGCGTAGCATTGTATGATTGTGGCTTTCCATCCTTTTGAGCTGAATCCATCTTGCTGTCATGATCCTGACCGTAGAGGAGATTGGTTTTCACTGCATGAGAGAGGCCCTTCGGTGCTCTTCAAGGGGTCACCGAGATAGGCACTCCATAAACCAGTGTGCTCGTGGTTACTGTTTGGGTAACAATATCGGAGTAGATTATTGACTGTGCAGTTGACAGTTTGGACAACTAGACTAGGTTGTCCTGGCCCCAAGTGACTCATAAATAAGTTTAACGTATTCTATTGCAAATTTACACATCTCACCATTTAGCTGCCAAACCAACTGGCTGAACCTATCACTTATTTGTAGTATGGATGTAACTTCAAATATACTTCACTTGAAAGAGATTTTTAGCTTGCATCTAATGTTTCGTTACATTTTCGTTTTCTTTCTTTCTATCAATTCACCAGGACTTGTTAAAATGGGAGTGCATTGTGTTACAGGTAAAAAGGTAGCTGTCAAGATAGTCAATCGAGAGAAGCTAAGTGATAGTGTACTTCAAAAGGTAGGCCTAGAGAAATTAGTTTTCTTTCTATTTCATTGTTTTTGCATAAATAGGTTGAAAGAGAAATCGCCATCATGAAACTTATAGAGCATCCTCATGTGCTGGGATTATATGATGTATACGAAAATCGACGACATTTGTATGTTATGTTTTATATATATATTGCAATAAATTCTGTTAGATATCTTATTCTAGAGCATGTTTCTGGAGGAGAATTATTCGACTATCTGGTTCGCAAGGGTCGATTAGCACCAAAAGAAGCTAGGAGATTTTTTAAACAAATTATTTCTGCACTAGATTTTTGTCATAGTCATTGCATTTGGTAAGTGTGTAAAGAAAAGATTTGCCTGTTCTATTTTATTGACATAACTGGCTGAAGTTGTTTAAAAAACACCTTGGAATACTGTAATACTTGTTGCTTTATAGTAGGATAAGATTTTGAAGAAATGCTGTAAGTTCAGAGCCACTGATACGACAATCATGAATAACTTTTATGATGGTTTCTAGTACTAATCGATATCGAATATAGGGTTGTGATGTAAGGTAAAATGATAGCTTGAGTCGTGGTAGGACTTAAACCAGTGGCCTACAATCTAGCTTTTTATTTCACCTTCAGTCATCATCGAGCATCAATAACTCCAGTCTGTCAAACCATGACTATCTCATTCAGTTTGATTAATAATCTGTATCTACTGAACACCTATTTAAAGTACAGAATTATTGAAAAACCGATCTTATTGTGGGAATTTTTTATATCATACATTAATGAATCTCTTTGGAGATCAAACCTTGAATGCATAAGTTCCTTTTCAACCGTGATTACCTTCATATCATTAGAAACATCGTGTTGATAAATGAATTCACTAAGCGTATGATTCGTGTAATAAGGTTGAGGTTCCCTGTATAGATTCATAAAGGTGCTAGAGTTCTGTGGTGTGAGATCTCCAGTGAAATAACTCTAAATTCAGTCTGTGGTTCACCCTGGGTAAGGTGGTCAGATTTCTGTCGGGCCCTTACACAGTAACTCTTGAAGACTGCTAGGTTTGAAAAAAAATCGTTAACCACAACTCTTTATTTTACACGAGTTGTTTGGATGAGTTGCTTAAAGTATGCAAACGTGAAGTATTTTATTCCAGTTCAATGACTAAGTAATAACTTGCTCCTCGTGATATCTGACGGTCCTTGGTTTATGGGTACACACCTATCAAAGTGTGAAATTTGGACGGAAAGGGTCTCCACTGCTTCCTAGCATTCGGTATTTTTAAAGCTGATTCCAATTAATGATATATGCTTAAGGTGAAACTTACTTGTTTGGTGGGTATTAGTTGGTTGGAGGCGATTGCCAAGAAGTCCTAGACATAGATTTCGCGCTTGTCGGCATTCGTCAGTAAGGCGTCTCTGCAACCTCAAAGGGGGTGATGCTTCCTCTGAGATTCGAATCCGTCCTATCCAGTATTTCAGTCAGCGACGTTACCATTGAGTTATTTGGAAGGTTGCAGATACACCTTGCTGATGAGTGCCAACAATCACGAAACGTAGGTTCAATGCTTCCTGCGCCGATCTTCTGTAACCAACTATTATCCATCAAAGTGCAACGTGGTGATGAACCTTCTTGCTCAGTGGCCACACTATAAAAATGATTAATAGAGTTCAGTCAACACTCAAGACTAGACTACATGAAATTGATTACTCTTCAGTGAATAATCAGTGTACATACTTGCTTGAGTTGTGATAGTTTATATAAGCCCATGACTGTTAAGTAAGTAGTCTACACTGTACTCCCGTCACTTGTTCCACTTCCGTGATTTAATTGGTTAGTAAAAGGAGTTTTGCTAACACCATAAGAAGAACAGATAGCGCTTATCAATATTTTCTTATGAAGAAACTAATCTTATCTTAATATTGTGAATATTATTTTTCAGTTCATACGTCGAAACTTGCCAGCTTATAGTAATGAGCTACGTAATAATAGACAATGTCATGTTGTCTAAACTTTTTAACTGACCGAATGGTATCGCCCATGCTTGTAGTGTAGCTATTGAGCTTGCGACCTCACATACTTTTCTACGGTTTATTGTCTTAGATTTAGAAAGAATCTTTTATTCGAAAATCCACCGCATAAACTAGCTATAGTCTCGCATCCTCTAAAAGTTCTTAGGAAATAAATAAAGCTTAACGAAAATGACAACCAGGATCAATGAAGTAAGAGGAATGATGAAACAGAAAGTACAGTCACATCTAGTGCAAGCTCATCCGTCCTATTCTAGTCACAAATGTCTTCTCCAGTTCTGTCTACGTTCATCAACCGTTCCAAACAATAAACAGTATAAAAGACTATGGGGTTGTAAACTCAGTGGATACACTGCAAGCATGGTCAATACCATTCGGTTAGTAAAAGAGTCTAGATAACACAACAAAAACTCGTTTTAAAATTCTTAGAGTTCATCTTTTTAGGTGATGAAATTGAACAGCCCAGAATAAGTTGTGAATTTCAAGATTGTGGTTAGCAGTTGTATTGATGTCAATTTGTTTGACTCCTTAGGTGAATAGCAAACAATAAGAAGAAATTATCTTTAACTTTCTTGACCATATTTTAGCATAAATGATATCCCCTAATTAGGATAAAAATAATTAATTATTCCACTAATGCAATTCAGCTATCTGGTTCAGTTTTGATTTTTCAGGCTATGAGAGCGAGGGTTGAACCCAAAACCGTTGGATTGAAAGTTGAGCGATAAGCCCAATGAACAGGATTTGTACAGATTTTAGTGTAACTAACTGTGAACAGTGTGAATTTTGTATTGAAATTTCAAACTCAATTGGCTTCATAGTTATGTTTTACAAAGTGATATCAACTGATCAGCTAGCGAAAATCAGTTTGCAATAGACGAGTTTTTCAAGATCCTCCATCATTAGATACTGCCTACATTTCTTGACATGAAAGACAGAAGTTTTTAAAGAACTCTGCTTACATTGTACTCATTTTTAGGCTAGTCAATCATAGTCAAGTGATTGAAATCTCAGACTTGAATTATCTGGTTGATATTTTAGAAATTTTATGCAAATTGTTTAGTCTTTTTGCTTAGGCGTATACTTTTTTCGGTATTTATAAAATCATACTTATTACGAATGCTATTTATTATTATAGCCACCGAGATTTAAAACCAGAAAATCTCTTATTGGATGATCAGTTGAATATACGTGTTGCTGATTTTGGTATGGCATCATTACAACCTGAAGGTTCATTATTAGAAACTAGTTGTGGGTGAGTGTTTTCTCTACCGATTTATCGATATACAATATATGCATTCAGTGAACAAATGTATATTTGAATGCTTTCCTTCGATTACTAACAGAATCAAAAACTAGTAACATGTCATGTATAAACGACCAAGTTTTCTACCTTTTACTTTTCATTACTTTTATTCTGCAAAATCAAAAAAGGGTCAAAAGTGTTCCTGGTTTAGAAAAGTGAGGGATAGAGAAGTGCTGTAAAACCTGAAATAGTGCTTTCGATACCTACTGACAGTTGCTTAATTAATAAAGGTATGAAATATGTCATAGATGTCCAAAATTTACATGCCTTCTATTCATCCGCCTGTTCACCCACCCACCCACTCACAAATTCATCCATCCAACCATCATCAGCATTTCGCAACTGATTGATATTCTGCTGACATCGATAAAATAGTTTGTAAACTCAGATTGCTTTTTCAGATCATTTTTTATGATATGACATTTTGATCCGATTATTGACAATGATTGATCCAGTTGTGTTGAACAAAACAAGCATTACTAAATAATAGTAAGTTGTTGTGTGCATATTTTGCGCTAACAACCCACAGTCAACATCAAAGTGTGTTGTTCGTTAAAGTGACAGAACGACAACTATGCTAATAAATGAAACTTATCGAAGAATTCATTTTCTGTAGGCTATTGATGTTTCATCAGTGTTTCCGAATGATGGGAAATGGATATTTGAAGGTGTTCGATGGTTTGGTTTTTAATCAATGCTATTTTAAACCAAATATTCCTCTTTTTCTATGTCTTCTGATTACTTGCCGTAATCCAGAAGCTTGATCATTGTTGACTATGTGTGTTGACATAAAAAGAATGAGTTTCAGAATTATTTTTCATCAATGTGCAGAGATTTTCGTGTGTACAAACAGTTGCCCAATTATATCTTGTTGGATAGAAGTCGATATTTTCGTGGAATACATGAGATACAGCTGATCAGACCTAAACTTGTCTCTATTTCTAGCTTACATATATATATATATATATATATATATATATATATATATATATCTGTCCCATCAATTCTAGCATGTGAAGTAAATTTACTGATAATTTACTTTTGGAGACAAAATGATTTAGAACACACAGGTTGCAAATGACAGAAGTAATTGTGAAATCTACTCAACAAAAGTTTACAGAATGAATTAAGAAGCAAGGGACCAGAAGGACATGTAAATGGAAGAAAGTAATCAATAAGTGAAAGAGATAAGTTGTATGATCCGCTTATCAAAGAGCGTCCATTGCTTGTAATAAGAGTTATAAAACGACGGTGAATAATATCTACTTTGGTAAAAATACAGTTATGAAGATATGTAAGTGTCGAGTACAAATTGAGGTCAAGTAGTTGAATCAAGAAAAATATATATGAATTGTGTGGGTGGGCGGTGGCGTAATTTTTCGTATTCCTAGAGGCGGTATAAATCCATATTTTCGTAACTAAACTTTACCATTCATAATTAACAATATTTAAGTAAATGTATGCTCCTAGTATCAATCTGTAAAAGGAGATCGGATATTCTGTTTCTCTTTCATCTACTTTTTGGTGATTTAGTTTCAACTTTCTGTTTTCAAACTGTTTCTCTTAGAACCGTTGCTTTATGTTTCCAGGTACTGTAGTAACATTATGCAGTACATGGTTTGATAATGTAGTCTTGATTTAATTACTTCATTATAACAAAGTAAGTGTATTAAAATCAAAGAAAATGGAAATTATAATGATAGAAGGTGGATAAAACGAAACATTTCGAAGTAAAATCGTCATTTAGACAGTAAACTTTTTATTCAGTTACAAACACATTCCGTCAATTCTCCACTCCATCCTTCTTGTTTCATTTTCTTTCTTTAATGTTTTGTTTTGATGAACAAATTTATGAACTACTCTTATCTTTAGTAAACTACACACTTTCTTATTTCTCGAAATTGTTATATTATTTCACTTAGTTTTTATTTGGATTATTAGGAAAGGTTGTTTTTAGCAACGAGTCTTGACAAGTATATATAATGGGTTGTGAACAAATGCATATGAGCATTATTCCAAATTCATGTTTTCGATGAGTCTCAATTTAGTCTTAAATACTGTTAGTTTTAGCCTCAGACGTAAACAGGACTTGTTTGAGCTGCTTGAGTCCTATGACTCCTGATGCATTTATGGTATTTCTGCAGGGAATAAATCGAGTGTTAGATATCTTGGATTGAAATTCACTTCTGATTTTTGTTGGTCGTCTCATATCTTGTTGACTTCCAAGAAAATCTTTCGTTTAACGCATAACATAAAGAAACTGAGACTGTCTGGCATAACAGCCTCTACTTTTAGAATTTATTAATTCCTACATTTTCCCTATTCTTCTGTATTGTTCCCCGTTGATTTCTCCTGGTCGATTAAAAAAGGACTATGTTATACTGTAATAAGGCTTTGAAAGCCGTTAGTAGGGTGAGTGCTTTTTCTCTGGCTCAATTGATTAACATTGTAGTTGACAAACATTTAAATTCCAGCAAGCAACTAGCTACAGTAATTTTAACTGATACTGAGCATCCACTCCATTCACAGCTCTCTCTATGTGTCTTTCTTGGGAAGACAAGAAGAAATTACATAAGACTGTACATTCGTACAGCTAAGTACACGAATTCGACTGTGTCCTACTTGGCATGCATATTATGTGGGGAAAAATTGTAAGAACAGAACTAATTTGTTAACTTTAACAATAAATAATCTGTCTTTCCAATACTCTGGCTAACAATGCAAAGTTTTCCTCGTTACTCATATTCTTTATGTAACTCCAATTCTTATAATAACACTATCCCGAAATGTAAAGGAGTCTCTCTCTCTCTCTCTCTCTCTCTCTCTCTATATATATATATATATATATATATATATATATATATATATATATATATATATATAAAAGATAGTGCAGAATATTATGCTGGGAGTTCCAAATTGTACCGAAAAGTTGTTTGAAATAAAAGGATTATTGTAATAATAATTATCATTCACCACTCAAGGTGCATTTTTATATGCGTAACTCTAACGTAGTATGTTAGAACAAATATTTTGTAATTATTCCTCAACGTTTCGATCTTGCTAAGAAGTTGCTTTTATTATTGTTATTATAAGTACTTTGTTTTTTAAGCCTACCGAACATTTATTGCTTAGTTATAATCAATAGGCGTTTGCTAAGCGCATATACCATTTAGAAAGTACTTTACTGCTGTCTATCTTGTAAATTATGCGGGATATATAAATGACGAATAACAAAAACGTACGTACAATGTAGAGAAAGCATAATTCCTGAGATGTAGATAAAAGAAAAATTGTTAGAGGCTATGGTAAATAGCCAGATATAAATGGTGTTCATCATTATTGTCATGGTTACATGTTTACTTAGTTTTTCCTAATTGAAATCAATATTTCGTTCGTCTCATCAAATGATTTAATGCCAAAATAAGCTTTCAGAAGCTGGTTATTTGTACATTTATACTATGATTATAATATTGCACTGTACCAGATTCTTCACCAATTGTGATACTATCTGCTTGACAGTTGGAGAAACAGTATTCTAACAACTTTGCTAGCAAGGCGTAGTTTTACTCACTATATAACTTAAATGAAATACTTTATTCCTGCCAAAACAGGCTATTTAGTACATATGGTGAAAAGATTCCTTGTTGAAGCACACAGTACGAAAAATTTACTTCATGAAGATACCTGCTTTCAAGGATTTCTTTATAGTAGAGAAACAATTGGCATCATACATATTTTCACTAACATATTTGGTGAATTGGATAGGGATATAGTTGCAAACAAAATGAATTGTGATTAGTCAGCAACAACAAAAAATCAAAATCTCTAAGAGTAATTAAAACTAATTGACAAGTAAAAATTGGAAGATGACCGAATTTAGGATAACGAGTTTTATAAAATGCCTTAAATGTCAAAGCAATTATTAAAGACAAAAAGAATTGTTATTAAATAAGTTGTGTCCAAAATTAACGAAGTGAATCTTTTGCTTAACTGGAGATTACGAACTTGGAATGGGATGACATTGAACAAGTTTTCTTTTCACCTATAAATCTCTGAATTCTCAACATTGATGACTAAGACTTCATGAATATTAATTCAAAGATGTTTTGGTTGCATCACGTTGTTATGAAGGGCAGGCTAATGAAAACTAAATGATTAATGTTAATAAAGTGGTTAGTTATCATAACTTTTACAGGTTTATTGCCTCCTTCTTCATAGCCAATCAGAAAATTGTTCTTCAATGTTGTGTAGATATGAGGTATATAAGGTGACTAAATACCTAGCGTGTATATATGTATAGTGTGAACTAAAAATAGAAGGATTTTCCAGGTGAAATATATTTATTAACGAAGTTATTCTCTATTTTCACAGTGAGAAACAAATTATCACGCACTGATTCTCTTACGTAAAGCCGTCTTATTATGTTAACACTGGAAAAACTGGTATGCGATCTCCTTCAATTAAGTGGAATTTAGAGGGTTATGCAAACAAAATAATACGCAGTCTGCTTAAAGGAAAATACAGTTTATACTAGGAAATCCATTGTTTTACAATGGCATTTCTTGTATTCTTTTGTTTATCGTAATTTATAAATTAAGCAGAAATGTTTTGTTAATTGACCATAGGTTACTGTTAAACATTAAATTATGTATGTATATTTCTGAAATGTATTCAGAGTACTTCTAGCAGGTGCACTTAAGAGCCATCAGGATACTTCACGTTGGAATATAATTGTATGATGAGTTCTTCACATAACTTGCTTATTCCTAATACAGTTTCGATATTGAACAACGGCTAAAAGATAGTGTAAATCTACAACAGGAGTACTTTCATTCCGATACTTTGAAGTTTCAGGTTACAGGGGAAATATATAGCTCAGAATGAGGACAAATACTGTTCAGTGGACTGTAAGCTTTTATATTTGATGGTAGATGCTTCATCGCCAAGCTTGATGGCATCATCGATATCCAGTTTATAAAAATATTTCTACAATTTTTGTTTGCCGTAGAACTAGCTAGTGACTAGTTATGAGGTTAGGTATATGGACGTCGCCAATGGTCACAAACGGCTAGACTATATTTTTCAACATTTTTGGAATGGTCTTCTTACTCCAAGCTTAACACTTACTTACAAACAGTCTACCTCAAAATATAACTTTGACTGGAGCCAGTCGAAGTGGGATCATAGTTTTAGGATGAAACAGCCAAAACATTTAAATCACTTCTTAAGATCAAACCATGGATATAAATTGTTTAGTACCATAGTTAGGTCTTTTAAATCATCAGAACCAATGATTACGCTGTGATAAACAACCAATAACAATTGAGTAGTTACATTCATTGATATTTTTTATTATCTTGTATGATTTCTTTCTGCTGTTGAGAGATGTGATTGCTCTATATGCTGTTAAGCTTTACTTGAGAACCGCACTGTTTAGTTTAAATTGAAGCATCAAAGTTTCATCTTTACGGTAAGTACTATAATTCTTCCGAACAACTATTTTCTTATCTCCTTTACTTGTCACCAATTATTTAAAAGGATTTTAAAATTGTCCATACAGTTCATCATTTTTATCCTTTATTCTCACCCCTGTTATATACTAGTGTATTTTATCTCGTGGGTTATAGTGAAGAATTAATTGAAGTGGTAAATGGAGCGTATTTCAACCACATTTTCATGTTGGTGGTAAAAGTACTGCAGTTGCTATTCACGGTTAATATGTGTAGTGTATTTAATAGGTTATATTAGACACTGCTGCAAACAAACAGAATTTTGGAGGCACCTTCAAGGATGTCATTTATTTGTATCATCGTGGTGAAGTAATTACAGTATTTGTCCTCAAGATCTGTATTCAAATGTAATATCTGCACTCATTCCCTTTGCCACAACCCTTAAGTGTCACTTTTCACATTTCTTTGTGGGAATACTGTGTTATAGCTAGTCATATTTCATCATTTTCTTTACAAGTATACGTTGATTCGTTGGTATTGTTTATTTCCCATAGTATAATATGCTGTTTGTTGATAGCTATGATCCTGTATTCGATAGAAAAGATCGTCAATCATATGTTTTAACAAATTCTTGAAAAGTAGTATATTCTTTTGTATCAGTTATTTTCTAAGAAAAATAAAGGTAAGTATACCTTTTATTTAGATAATCATTTTGTATAAAAATAATTGCTTCATCTCATGTATCAGGCTTAAACGTGCTCACTAATTCATTCATCTATCTAGCTCACCTCATTATGCTTGTCCTGAAGTCATAAGGGTAAGGAAGCACGTGTTACAATGTAATGCATGGGTTTTGATTAAAAAACCACGTTTTTATTGGTTTTTTTCTAGTGTTTTCTGTTGTATAGGTCACCAGTTATGTTAAATGCTTCCCACAATTTTTATTAGGGCATGTAGAATCTGTTATTCAACTACTGAAATATTAAATGCTATCACTCAAATATCAGCTGATTGTCTGTACAAATTTTCACCTTCCGTTTCGTCTTCTAACACCATGAAGTTTTGAACAATAATTAGATTGGTGTTTTTATTATAGCAATTAGACTAATAAGGAACAAGAAACAAACTAAATTAGTTTGCCTTTAAATACAAAAAACTTTAAGGAGAATTTACATGCACTTCAGATTGTTTACAACAACGCTTATAGTTAGTTTTTCCCCCGGATCTCTGTGCTAGTTTAGCGACCATCTAAAGATTGTCCACCGCACATACACACACACACTTGCTGGTGGGCCGTATTCAGAGGTATGTAGTTCAGTAACCATTTTTACACATAATCAACTCAAATTCAGTCTATTTATCTGCTTGTACTATATAGTGATGTGTTGCAGACTAAACCTAGATTTGTATTTTTCACTGCTTGTGTAGCTGATTTTTTGGATATCTTTGCTAGTAGCTTCTCATAAAACGTTGCCCTGGTCTGAGTTTTGTTTTAATTACAGATTTTATTTGTCGTAAATATATACTGAATGCAAAGTCTATTAATACATTCATATACTAACTTCTTAAAGTTGTCAAGACGTCATTGTATATCTCCTGCGTTTTTTTGATTGAAAGATTCACTATTCTTTTGCATGAGCTTATTTCCTTTCAAAATAAGTTTTGTGTGTGTGATGCTCAAATGTCTTTAGGTTTTAGTACGTAGCTTAGTATTTGGTATGAAAGTAAGGCTTGTTGTATTTGATGAGTACCTGAATATTCAACTCATCTATCTCTTAGGTCTTGCAAGTACTTTTTACTCTTTGTCACAGAGAAAAAAAAGTGGTTTATCCTTAGAAAGCAAAGTCATAGAAATCAATGGTTTCTGTATCCTAAGGTAACCAACTGAATAGCTAAGTAAAGTCCAAGAATCAGTGAAAAATGCAACTCTTAATTTAAAAAATTAAGTTAGAAATTAGGATGAGACATATTAATATTGACAATTAGTAGGAAACAGGGAAATGAAATTAAAAGAGACTGAATGTCAGTATAATATTGATATTAGAGGATTAGAACTTTAGAGAAAGCAAATAAAGCTGAATGAAACAAAAGACTGATGCTTAAATTATTGGATCAGTTAACTAGCTTAGTCTTTTCCCTAGCTAGCTGAATGGCTAGTTTCATTCAGATTGAACACCTCATGAAACCATATCATAGAGTTGCACACTTCGTAGACATTAGAAAACTGGAAGTTTCTGAGTTTTAAGGTTACTGAAGTTGCATCTTGTAAGTATTCTAAAAGCATGAAATATCAAAACTTAGAGAGAGCTACTGTGTAACTTGATTGAGTTACTAATCTGTTTCAGTGTATAGAATCTATTTTACAACTTCAGCGAATTGCTAGTTTTGTAGAAATGAATTCAGGCTGGCTGTTATGAACAATTTCAGTATGTAGTGGCTTGAGTTATTTGGTACCAGTTTAGTGTCAGTGTATACGAAATCAAGTATGAATGTATCAAAAATTGAAACTTTTGTTATAGATTGGTAATATGTAAGGTGTACCATTGCTAATAGTTTTTGAGATGCTGTTATCTATCAGAAAGGTAAGAGAATGACTTTTTTGTTGAAAGTAATTGTTTACTGAAGAAGATAAATTGTTAGTGATTATTTACAGTGAGTCACCATTTTATCAATTCGTTGACTAGAGACAAACAGTCACTCAGAGGTACATTCTGACTTCATATTTCATTCTTACATATTAGAAATTATGAGTACGGTCACTTTTATACCATCGTGCTTTTGTTGTTTGATTGAGACTTTTATATTGGATTCAGAAAACCATCACTGACTAGGTGCAAATCTGGTAAATTGGTAATTATCAAACATAACAAATCATATCCAGCTGATTATAATAATTAAGTCACCAAGTGAACATATTCATTGTTGATACAGAATGTGGGTACCACTTCATTTTACCTTGAAATTACCTCATTAAAATTCGTAGTTGAAAAACGTCCTATATTACAAACATTTTAGTCTGGTAGTATGTTGGTTAGCTGTAAAGTGTCAGTTTAGTGTACAGTTTAATATTTGTTTGCTCATGAATACATTTAGTTAACTATTTTAGGGTTAACACTAATGTGTTCCTACCCATAATAATATAATATCTCACTTTTGCTTCTGTTACCTTTCTTTTACGAAATGAAGACGAAAGTTCTTTTTCCTCTCATTTATTCCATTTTACTTTCCTCCAGCAGTTAAAGTACCTCTACCTTTCTCTTAACGATCGGTTTCCTTTATTTAGTAGAAATATGTTCATCTTGAAAAAGTTTATGAAAGGATACTTGCGTTTCACTATTAGTTTTAGTTAAACAAAAGTGTACGTATAATGTGTTAATACTTGCAGCATATCCTAATTATGATGGGTTTACAGATCTGATAGGTGAAATCAGTAGTGATTTTTTCACTGAGATATCGTTTTTGTCATTGTTGAATTTCCTTTTGCAAAAAATATTTCAATCAAAACATGAATTTCACATGAAGTAATATTATTCGCTATTGGATGTAGATCTCTAAAGTTAGATTTGTATTGTTTTATAGATGTTGATTGATATGATAAACTGTAATCAGTATCTATATTTTCATGTTAAAACAGCCTTGGTGTTGTCGTATACTTTATGTTGTCTTGGAAGTTATTTACGTAACACATGAAAGCAACGTTTCTTTTACCCACCAATCTCACTCATTGTTCTCAACAATATCCTTATTTCCATCATTAAAATAATTTTTTGTTGGGTTTTGTTTTGAAACTATTAGGGTGAAAGGTATGATGGACGTATGGCAGATGTTTGGTCCTGTGGTGTGATTTTATATGCTCTCCTAGTGGTAAGTTATTGTGCTTCAGAATTATCTAGTGCATATTCACAAACTCATTTCACTGTAGCTATGTGTATGTTTATACAGATTTTATACTTGGTTCTGTAAATTTTTAAATTTGTCTAACCGAATGTGATTTCATATTACACGAAATGTCTATTGAAAAAAAAACACTTTACGGACACTTTAAAGTAACAAATGTATTGAAAATGCCTTAACTAATACGCCTCGTCATAGGGATTTCTGTAAAACTCATTCAGCTGGTCCTTTGCCAACAGAAGGAGAGTGGAGTCAATCTCTCATATCCATGCTGACTGTAATTTGACGTGGTTTAGTGTAAATTACATTTGTATTCATTTTTTTCATCTACTTATTTCAAATCACTGTGTTGACCCCCTAATTTCATGTATTTCATTTCTTTGGGTATAACACAGGTTGTTAGCAAGTATTAATTGTTTGCTTCGTTACACTTCACACCCATTCTGTACAATTCTTTGGCCTCCTATTAAATAGTGTGTAAATTAGTATCAATTTGAGTATACAGATTAAGACCGGTGACTGCCTAGTTTTAATTAACGTATTCACTAAATAATATTGTATTTCTCGACTTTAAGCAGCTGAGAATGTTCATGAAATGAACTGATATCACTTTATTCTCCAAAAATAGTCCTTCATGCTTTGTCCGCCTGGGTTAGAATTGCTTGATAAATATAAACCTAGCAAGCAAAATTAATGTGAAAGTAGTGGTTCATAATTTCCCTATAGTTCTTTTTTGTACATATATCACCTAGTGAAAACGTATTATGTACTGATGACGTTTTGAGCAGAATTTATTGCTCATAATTATATCAAGGTAATTAATTTTATAGTTCTGTTATTTCTCATTCTTCCATTTAACTGGTAATAAAATTTTCCACATATCCGGAATGACAGTTGCGTTATTTCTGTTACGTGTGTCAGGTGTCAATTAGATAAACAATACTTCAGTTATTAACCTCTCGCTCAAACTACTCCAATTATTTTTTTTAAATTGTCAGTCTATACCATCCTATTGTGTGGTTGGGTGTGACAGCATGCTCGGCTACGGCTGATCTGTTTTCTAGATTTCTTATCTTATTATGGTCTAGCATTCTGTGTTTAACTAAATTTCTTTGTTCCACTGTCGTTATTGACCCCAGTCAACCAGTTTGACCTATGTATTTCACCTCACAGTCATTACATGATGTTTGTCTTGTATAATGCGTTCGATAGGACCCTTTAACGGGAAACAGCTATCTCTAAGTGGGTCTGCAGATTTAAATGCCACTGTAATCTCAATCTTACTAGGAATCATACTCAGGACTTCTGATGTCTCTTCTCTTTGTGGCAAAACTATACAGGTTTTCAAATACTTCTCCGTAGTTTCATTGCTGACACGTTTTTTGTCTGCAATTGTCTTATCCTTTTCTTAAGACTCATTTAGTGTTTTTGGATAAAATCGCAGAAGCAGTTGTTGATAAAGAATACATTATCTATGTATTTTGTTTCTTGACATAGAACTTCTGCCTAACTACTCAGTTTTCTTGCCTTGTTATTTATACATTTGACCACGCCTGGCTTAACTGATCTAGAATGAGATGATCTGAAGTCCAATTGCCGACTAGAGTGTGAAGACTTTTTGTAGACCGCAGTATGTAACCATCTTTCTTTGCCAGTTTCTAGTTCATATGTGAACTGAATCACGCCAACTATTGAGTTAAAGTACTTAAGAAATTTCTTGATATGTTCTGACTTTCACATTGTAAATATATCATCTACATATATCCACGAAACTTTGGGAGTAGGGTGAAATGTCCCTAGGGTTATGTGTTCCTAGCTGTCCAAAAATATATCTGCTGCAATCGAGGACATTAAATATTCTATGGCTACTCCTATTCTTTGTATATATTATTGTGAAACTTGGGAACTGTATAAGTCAGGCATAATTGCACCTTAGAATAAGTTCTCCCACTGGTTTTAAGTGTGAGTTGTTGGGCAGCGTTGAATTCATTTTTAACTCTCTCAAGGGGACACATTGATCACTATATCAATGTAAAGTCTAGACACATCAAAGTTAATCATTTTTTCATTATTTTCTCTTTTTTTGATTCCTTTTATCTAGTAAATTCATTTATCCGAAATGTTTTTCTACTCATTTGCTCTAAGCCCTATCACTGATAATATTAATTTATGAAAATAGTTTTCCACTGATTTTAATCATCTAACATGTGAAATAAAAAGTTTGGCTTAATTCCAGTTCACATATTTGGTTCTATTTGTTTTTAGACTTAATTTGTTATTCCCTTTTCAACTAGAATGTTTTTATATCAAATATATTCAAAAACGGGAGTTGAAATTTCCTAAATTTTTAAAAGTTATGTGGTCACTATTGTTTATAGTTTGTTCAAATCCATTTTTCGTATAGTTTTATTCATTTGGTTTGTTTATTTCTTTGTCTTTCCCTAATTTTCCTTTCCCTACTTCTCCTTTTCTTATTATTTTTTTCAGGGTGCCCTGCCATTCGATGATGATAATTTACGAAATCTACTGGAAAAAGTTAAGAAAGGTGTATTTCATATACCAGCATTTGTTTCAGCCGATTGTCAGTCACTATTAAGAGCTATGATTGAAGTGGATACACGTAAACGTATTACAGTAAGTCTAAATGGTCTTTATCGACAAGTTATTGCTTTTTCGCTGATATGTTTTTTTCACGTACACTTTTGCTTCTCCTTCTTTTCTAAAGATGAAGTCAAGTTTTGTTTTACGCGGAACTTCATCTCTACTCTTTTGGTCAATCTTTCAGGAGATAACCGGTTTAATCTTTTACTTTGTGTTGCTTATTTTGTGATGAACAGGCTTTGTGAAATAAATTATGATGGAGTATATTAAATGACTGATACAAGAGTATTATTAGGTCTAACTTTCCTTTCCTGAATTCCTAACTAATAACTGTCCAGATTAAGAAAAATATTGACATATACCTCACAAGTACTGTTGAGACCTTCTGCATCATAAATTTGTGTTTATCGTTGATAAGATTAGTTAACTTCAAGCCCACTCATCATTTGACAACTCCGTATTAGATATCATACGTTCTTTTATGCATAAACTTTGAAGATATTTGTCTGAAAAACATTTTTGCAATATTCCTAATTTTATATTGAATGCTAAACATTCCAAAGTTTTGTATGTTTTTGAAGACTTCCGGGTTTCACAGGTGATTACTAATTACTCTTTATTTTTCTTCTGCCACTTTTTCATCTTATTGTGTTAAAGTTAAATTCTCAGTTTGTCTATCTGAAGTAGCCATGATTTTGCAGACTTGTATTGATACTGGGTGATGATTCGTGGTGAAATGAAGATTTCGATCACTGTGGGATTTGAACCAGCAACCACCGGGTTTCCGTCCTGGTACTCTACTAACTGAGCTACGGAATCCAGCTGCTGACCAGGTTTTTATTTCAATTCAATCATCAAGGGTTTCGCCCGACTGCTATGTGAATTCGTAACACGTTACTCTCGCTTGATCTTACACTGGTTGCCCAGTCAGGACATCTCATCCCAATCCCAATCTGCTGGAATCAGAGAGGGGGAGGCTCATATTAGTTACCAGTCTATTTGAGATAGCCGCAGTTTGGCACACTCTTATTGATACCGGGTAATGATTAACAGTAAACGTGATGGTCTCCCTCTCTAATTCAAGTAGATTTCAATTTGGATGAGAAGTTCTGACTGGGAAGCCAATGTGAGTATGACCAAGTGATGCTAAGGCGCCACGAATTCAGATGGCAATCAGGGAGGAACCTCGGCGATTGAAGTGAAACAGAAATCTGGCCAGCAGTTGGGTCTCATATCTCATTTAGTAGAGCACCGGGTTGGGAACCCGGTGATCGCCGGTTCGAATCCCACCGTGGCCTAAATTTTCACCTAGCATTCAATCAATACCCGGTATCAATGCTAAGTTCACTAAGTCAGCTGTCAAGGTTTCCAAATAACCGGTCAACATTCTTCCCTTAACTTTAAATCAGGCTATGAAATACATTTTCGAGACCCATCGCAGTGTAGCCTTGCATTTCACCTTCAATCATCATCCAGGGTCAGCAATTCTAATCTGCCAATCATGGCTATCTTAGATAGTCTCAACGACAACACTGTCTTAGTCAAAGAAACATGAAGTATAAATTGGTTGACAGGAGATATTGGAAGCCATTTCAATCAGTATCAATAACTGACTTAACTGAGATGATATTAACGTTGTATGGTCAATTATGACCTTTCGAATGTAGATGTTGACCGAAATATTTTACAATGAAAATCTCAGCTTCCCCTTGAGATCCCAATCGAATCTAAAACATCTAATGTTTTTTGCTTCCCTTATTTTCGCTATTCTTCTCTAATCCGTGCTTCAATTATGCAGGTAAGAATTAAGTAGTATAGCTGTGACTTCCATTATAATTGCATTTCTTTTGTAAAAACAAATATAGAACCGGTAACTTGATCAGTGTCTTTCAGATAATCCTGATATAGCTAGCAAGTTGTCCTGAAAAATAAATATCGTGTTCAATGACCTCTGTCATTCAAACTTATATGCTATGCATCTAATTTGCTTGAGGAAAGAGAAAATATGAAATCAGACTAAGTATCAAACTACGGTCAAATCCTGCAGAGACACCAACATACCTTCTTTCTGATGTGTTAGTTTTTTTCGCGAATACTGGGTTCAGCGAATAAAGAATAAGTTTTCTCGAAGTGCTTATTCGTTAAACTTTCTCTTGAGCAAACTTCTGTGTGTGTTGATCACTTCATCAACTCTTCTTAAGGGAAGTACTTTTATTCACTATGTTTGTTAAATATGCTTTTATATCCGGTCATCTACTTTGCAAACAAAAGCTGTATTAGTAAGTGCTTGATCACTGAGGAAATAAGGACAGTTTCGTTGATTTTTCCACTGAGTTCATTGAAAGTGCATAAGAACCTTTTAGAGTCTAGAAGTTTGTTTACTTATTGTAACTTTATCTATTCATGCAAGTCCTCTAATCTCTTAAACAATATATAGGTTGAAGCTAACCGAGTATATTGATTAGACGACTACTTAGGTCAAACTTGATTGATAAGCACTAATAATGGATTTGATAGGGACTTCGATCACCTATATCGGATTAGAACCAATGCCCTTCAGTTGACTGATTCCGTTCTTGACTGTTTAGGCTTCGTTCATAACTATCAATCTTGCATGTTTTTGACTTCAGTCATTGAACATTATGCAAAACTGATATTTGCACTCACATATGAAATACAATTATATCAGCGAATGTCAACAGAACTCTTATTTGTTTTCAAAAAGTAAAATTATTTCTTCAAAGGGAAAAAAAGAGTATATTTTCAAACGTGTATGTTACGGTAACATTTCATATGTATCTATCTATGTTCTCATTTCCTTTCTACCTTTAATGTTTCTTTCGTAACTTTCAATTTGTTTGACCTTCTCCTTTATGCATCTCACAGTTGCTTTCACTCGTGATCTATTTTACATTTGTTTAGATTAGTTATATTATCATTACTATTGTTGATATACTATTTATACCTTACTTAATTCATTGTCTCATTTCTTTTATACAATGGTAACAAAAGCATCATACAAAAAGGAAGTTGTTATAGCAACCATCTCGTGCATGTTTTTCCTTTATGTATCTAACTGCTTTTAGTTTCTTAGCCTATATGTTATGTACATCATACACCTGATACCATCTGATCAATAATGGAGTTGAATTTATTTCAATGGAATATTTTACTTCATTACTTTTCCCGATAATTCAGTTTGAATTTAGATTTTTACCGCAGTGTTATAAGTCTCACTTCTATGCATTTTGTACCCAGAAAGTTTGATTTACCATTTATCCTCTTTTTTCATGCTTTATCTTGTTAGAAACTTATTGATCAGATATTTCTTATAGTTTTCAAACAATTTTCGAATAAAAAGAAATAACTGGATTCCATTCATTTTTATTGCCACCAGTCCAGTCCTTACAGCATTTGATTACGCTGAAGATAAGAATATGTTCGATTTCGTTCAAGTTGTCGCTATTAGCGGCCTGTTTGAACTTTGGGCTACCAAATTTATCCATCAAACATTTTAATCAAATTCTTTTCTTTCAACTTGCTTTAATCTTTAAATATGTTCTTTGAACGTATCATGTACTCTGACATATTTTTAAACTGTTTCCATCTCTCCGTTTCTCGAGTCAATAACAAAGCAGAGAAAAAAGATGTTACGTCATATAGAAATGGACTTTTCGGTGTAAAAAAAGTATATCATATTACTATCCGTCAGATACTTAGCTTGAATTGCAGATTTTTGTACCGTCTGAATGAACTACCACCACCGAAATTACACTTGCATTTCTGTTGATTCTTCTTTATGAACCAGATGCCCATCCAGAACCAGTTGGCTACTTCACATTATTGCCTTGATTACCGTTATTATTAGCATCATTCTGATACAATAAGCATTTGCTCTGAAAGTATTGTTCTGGGAGTGAATTTGTTGAAAAATTGCATCCTGAGAATTCCATACTGTCATACATATTGTTTGGAATAAAGCGATTACCGTTATTATTATTACTATTATTAATTATTATTATTATTATTATCATTACTATGGTCAGAAATAAAGCAAAGAGAGACAAAATAGAAAACTCAGTGCTCCACCAAACTGTCACTTTTCCAATTAACATACTTCCGACTTATACATAAACGGGAAAGCCAATTAGTTAAAAAAGTTTCAACAAAGGTGTTATCCTAAGTGATTTCATCTGTGTACTGAACTTGATGTAGATTGTTGCTAGATAGAATGTTGGTCACAGTTAAGCTTACTTAACTTAATTTGTTATGACCACTCCAGGTCGATAGTGACGTGAACTGTTTCTCAATTAAGCCAACTGTAAGGGATTTATCAACACTATAAAAACCCTTCAAATTAATCTTGACCCTATACACTCAGTAGTTTCCAGACACGTGAGTATATTACTTACCTTGAACAGCTACACTTCACAACTGCATGCTGCAAAGGAGGGGGAATGAGAATACTGTTTATTAATCTTGACTGTTAGTGTGAATTGATTTTCGTAGCTTTAATTCAAACAGTGATACTTTGAACTCAAATCACCTCAGGTTTTTTAATGATAAGTGATTGCGTCAATAGTGTCCTCATGGATAAAATCACTATTTTGTTCCCAATACTCATAATTTTGTCGACGCTACCGGAGTACTTATTCGCGTTCATGAACGGAAGAAGCAGCTACTTCATTCCTTTGGTCCCACAAAATTCAACCAAGTCATTTATACCTACACGATGTATCAGGTTTAAAATATCTAATATACACAAAGCCTTTTTGTAATGTATCATTACCTTGTATACTTTCTTCAATCAGTTCTTAGTGGCGGCCTGCTTGAACTCTGGGCTACCGTTTTCTATAAACGAGTATATTGTATAAAATTTCTTATTTCTTTATTGTTTTTATCATTTTGTTATGTCAACCAATCGTATTGTATATTCACGCGCGTTTTTAAAATCATTACAACCTATCGCTTCGCAAGTTGATAGGAAATTTAAGAAGAAGCACCACGGTGGATGGCAACGAGCTCTGAAGCGTATGACCATAGATCAAATGACTATTCCGGAAGTACTTAGCACAAACTGCAGGTCGTTACCGAATGAAGTTGATTACCTTCAGTCACTCTTGTCCACAAATGTTTATCGAAACACGGGTGTAATAATGCTGCAGGAAACATGGCTTCATAATCTGTATGATGATGACTTAGTCTGCTTAGATGGTTTCAAATTATTTCGACAAGATCGAAGCTCTTCGAAGAAGAAATGTGGTGGTGGTGTAGCAACATTTATTGGTACTAACTGGTCCTCCTCCAACTATGTATGCTTCTGCTTCTCTAACGAAAAAATTGGGTGCATTACCATCAAATGTCGTCCCAAACATTTGAGCAAATACAAATACATATGTATCACAAATATGTATGTCACACCTGAATGCAGTTCCTCAGATTTGTCAACTTTTGCTGATAAATTCACTGAATTTGCTGCTCTGGTTCTGGGAAACTCCTTGTCTATTGTCTTTGGTGATTTTAGCTCATGTGACTACATTTTTCTATTATCATTGGGTCATAAAAATATGGTTAACTTTTCCACTCGTCTTGACAACACCTTAGACTTTGCATTTACAAATGAACCTGGCATATATGAAGCTCGTAAACGGGCTCCACTGCTTAATTCCGACCACTGTATCGTTCGTGTTTTGCCTAAAAGGTACGGAAAATTATACAAGAAAGCTTTTGCATACCTTTCAAGGAAAGTTCTATACAGATGCTATTCACAAGAAAATATATTACATTTGAGAAGCATGCTTATAGAAACGGACTGGGATATATTTGCTGATGAAGTTTTAGACAACACTATTACCAATATCACAAGCTTTCTCAGATTCTGTCTCGATATCTGCTGCCCTAATGAAACAATTTACATGAGATTTGACAGACTTTCCTCTCCTCATCTCAAGAGGCTTCGGAGAGAAAAGGAAAGGTTGTATAAGGCGAGAGATCACCCTGGCTTTAAAAGGCTTAACTACCTAATTAAGTCTGAAATACAACGTCTGAATACCATATACAACGAGAAGTTCTTATCGTGTAGGAACCCTTCCAATATATGGAAATTATTTAAAGAGCTAACTGGTAAAAACAGATGACAACACAAACTCGTTCGGATGTCTGCGCGTTAAACAAGTCATTTATACGTCGGCAAGCTAATTTCATAGCTCACAGTGATCCATGGGTTACAAAATGGCTGCATTCTTATTTTTCTGAAAGGAAACAGTACACAATTCATAAAGGAATGCGCTCGACCTCATTGCTTACTGAAGCTGGTGTGCCTCAAGGTGCTGTACTTTCTCCTTTTCTGTTTTCCTTGTTTTTGCATGATTTGCCTTATTCTGTTGAAATTAATTTTATCAAGTATGCTGACGACCTGACGATTTCTATTCCAGTAAACTCTTCTTTGGATTGCTCGAAATTAAATGAATTCTTGTCTGAAGTTGGCAAATGGTCTCAAACTAAACCCCTCTAAATGTCAGACCGTTAATTTTAGCCTCAGGCGTAAACAAGACTTATATGAGCTGCTTAAACCTCATGACACCTGCTGCATCAATGGTATTTCTGCAGAAAGTAAATCGAGTGTGAACTATCTTGGGTTGCATTTTACTTCTGACCTTTGTTGGTCGTCCCATATTTTACTGACTTTTAAAAAAATCTTTCGTTTAACTTATTACGTAAAGAAATTGAGGCTTTCTGGTATAACTCAACTGCTTCTTTTACAATTTATTAGTTCCTGCATTTTACCTATTCTTCTATATTGTTCTCCATTATTCTTTCCTGGTCTTCTTAAAAAGGACTATGTTATGTTGCGTAGGGCTTTGAAGGCCGTCAGCAGGGTGAGTGGTGTGTCTCTGGCTCAACTGATTAACGCTGTAGTCGATCGACGTATAAATTCCTGCAAGCTACTAGCTACAGAAATTTTAACTGACAGTGAGCATCCACTTCATTTACAGCTCTCTCCATGTATCTCCTCAGGGAGGACAAGGAGAAACTACATAAGACTGTATGCTCGTACAGCTAAGTATAGGAATTCGACTGTACCTTACCTTGCATGTATATTTTGTGGGGAAAAAAGTGTTAGAACAGAAATCACACATCAACTTTGTGACAGTTAAAAATCTCATTTCATTAATTTAACTTACAATGCAAAATTTTCTCATTTTTAATATTCTTCACATAAATTAAATTTTTATAATAAAACAATGGAAAGGCTGCAAAGTAGTATGTGTATACTTATATTTTGTTGTTATTGCAATATATATTACGCTGAGAATTCCAAATTGTACCACAAATTGTTTGTAATAAAGTGAATTATTATTATTATTATTAATAAATTTTCTTTTACGCACTTACTTTGTGATGATTTTTGTAAAGTTTGTATTTAATTGCCGCCGTCATTATTTATGAAGCACCGTTTTCGTAATCACTCAACTATGAATGATAATGTTTAACAACACAATTTACTTTCTTCTTTTCGTGCAACTTTAAACAACAGTTTCTTTTTCTCATAACTTAATAAAAACCTTTGGTATAAGTAAAGGTTCCTACCTGTTTCATATACTTTATTTCGTTGGGTTTTTGTGTAACTCGACAGTTTAACAGTCAGATAGTTAAAATGCAGGCATAAAATGTTTAAGTGCTTTTCTGCTACTGTTCAGATCATGGCATCTAAAAGTTATTTCAACTGCCTATTGAGAATACATAATTTACCCATCAGTTGTTTACTGAGTGAATTATGAACAGTCACTGAGATGGCACTTACTTAACACTGGTCTACAAAGACTGTTCAAAACACTGGGGTGTTTCTTAAATTTGAAGCTATCTTGTCTAGCATTATAGGTGCAAACAATATCTCTGTGCCGTTAAAACCCTTAGACGCTCGTTTTTAAATTTGTTATGATGTATAATTGACTATTTTGAAACGATAAAAAACATCTTGTTTACCTTAGTAATCACAAAACTTTAATTAGAATTCTTTTTTCTATGAATTTTCCTAGTTGAAAGAAGTGCTAGAACACAAATGGGTTATCGGGTGAGTTCATTTTTTGACTTTATTATTGTTCATAATAATGATAATGGTAATAACACGTAGTTTTGTTTTTGGGGGATGATTTCTACAAGTTTATATTCATTCCGGAAATAAATATTTATTTGGAAAAATAAAATAATTAAGACGGGATAAATACAACTTAGTATAAGACTGTTTTCGTTATGAGTTGAAATGTTTCCAAGACCTGCTGAAAATCATGATAATTCACATGGGATCATTTTCTGTGAAAAACTAATCAATTTCGAATCGAAATCCAGTTACCTACCTTGTGAACATTCGTGCAGTAGGTAGTAAACCACACCTAATGTGTGAGGGCTGATAATTCTCTCTGGCGGCTCAAACCTCGGAAGGAGGAACGGTGTTCGAACTCGTGACCCATCTGTCGGAATTTATCTACCTAAACCAACGGGCCATAACTCCACTTAATTGATTTCTGGAAGTTATCAGCTTAACTAAAAACTTGTTTCACTAGTAACTTGTGGATAGTATATTGTAGTACATACAGATGGTTTATTTCTTTTCTGATTTATTCTAAAGTTTAGTCGGTAGAGCGCCAGGCCGCAAACTCGGTGGTCGCTGGCTCGAATCCGGCTGCGGTTCAAATTTTTACTTCACCTTCAATCATCATCCAGTATTAATACTAGTCTGCCAAACTACGGCTGTCACAGATAGTCAACATGATAATAAAAGAAATGTTGAAAATATATTGAGGATCATATATTATAATACCGTTGTGTTATGCGTTTTACGCATAAAACAGCCAGAGAAACATAAGAAGGAAATAATCTGACCGACTTATGCATGGTATTCGAAAGAACATAAGTGTACAGTATTTTGAAAACTCTCATATCGAACCGGTTTTATCGAACGTAGTTTTGCTGTATAAAAGCAGACAAATTTTTACAACTACTTGTATAGTAAATGCTCATGTATAGTCCTAACTACCGTTAATGACTTATTCTAGCAGTTCCTTTCAAGTTTTTTAATGATCATCAAGGGTGTCTACCCCATTTGCATATAAATGCTCATACTGCCAACGTTTTCGCTACAGATAAATACTATTATGCAAATTCCATATTATTAATTTAGTTGATATTGGGATTTTTCTTATTTTGTGCCTCCTGAGAACTGTTCGGCGGTTATTTTACAATCCAATGACCTATGATAAGTTTGTATTGCTATTACTTGATTTTATCTTTCAGCTGCATGAAATCATTGAATACTTATCCTCTTGCCCACTACTTATAATTCTGTTATTCTAACACTATACATAAAGTACTGGTATACTTCCTCTACTCGTTTACAAATATATGCCAGATGATCGTTGGAGTTGGATAGATCATTTAAAAGGTTCTCATCATATCACTGCTTTTTTAACCCTTGACAAAATGTTGCTCTGATAAGCTGATTACAAAGAAGGACAACAGCAATCAAATCTACTTATAAACCCGATGTAAAAATGATAATAATGGCCAAAACAGTAGTATAAAATGGCTAAAAGATTGTAGAATAGCAATGAATATTGTTTCCTTATCTCCTTGACATTGTTATGGTAGTATTATAATGACCACACTGACAATAAAGGCATGAATTCAATGGTAAAGTATTTGCTTATTCAATGCACCAAACTTATTTTTACAATGATAAGTTCGTGTGTTGATTGCCTATTTTGTCTTACTCAGTGAGTATTATTTGTATTCTGGTTTGTTTTTTTTACCTGCTCTTCAGTTATGTCCACAAAGTATCCTGTAGAAAATAGTGTAGTTAGTTATAGAATAAAATAATTTGCTACTTGCTGCTGCTAGTGAAAATGTTTCCATTTTTGTTTACTGTCATGTGCTCCAGTATAAGTGAATACTGTGTACACCTTCTGTCATCCGTCCAATAACTGCTACCTTGATGTGGTGGTCGGACTTACGTATCACAATAACCCAATGAACTGCACTGCCTCGAACGCCTATTTACTCGAGGTCCTACCATGCCAGAAAGGTCTGCTGGATAATGGTAAGACGAAAAACAGTTACCGCTGTAGCGTCAATTACCCTTAAATAGCACACCTCCGTACCCACGGTCTCCTAGTGTTGGCAGTATAGGTTTTTTCCCCGGCGTTGGAGAAACCAAACCTCAACAAGCCGCAAATAGCTGTGTGTCACAAGCCTCAAGCAAATGTCCCATGGGCTCTATGGTCACACAAATCCTTTTCTCTTCCAGGTTACCTTCAGAAGAAATAGCCTTCCACGTTGTGGGTGGTCGGGAAGTATGAACCGCTCGCTCACTTCCAGTAGTACACAAGACCCAATCAAACAAAACTCAGTTTCCTTAACGCTGTCCCCTGCTTCGCCTTTACCTCCTGATTGTAACATTAGGGCTATTATGCCTTACTTAACCTCTTACTCTGCAACTGCTGCCGACGATCAAAGCCATCGAAACCTCATTTTTTAGTCTCACAAAACCTCGCTATCGATTTTATGTGACTGCTTTCAACGTCCGAACTCTATGCCAAACTAGACAGCAAACATTACTCCCCAAAACTATGAAATTTCTAGCCATGGATGTGTGCTATGTCTTTGAGACTTGTATACAGGACCCGAGTGCGGTTATTAAAATGACCTCACCTGGTCATAGTAGTGAATCTTCGAAATTCCGGAGATTATGGGTATAAAACCTGGGCCCTGTGGTAAAATTTAACTCCGTACTAGATTTGCTTATTTGGTTTTTAACACACAGTGATACGGTATTATTTGCCTCGTGACGTTTCGAGCATAAATTATTGCTCATAATCATATCAGTGTAATCAGAAATTGCTCAAAGAACTAAGATATCGGTTGATGAGATCATATTAGGCGCATAGTTGTTTCTGACCACAGTCTTCTAGTTTCAGGACAAAGTGTACAGACAAACAGAAGGTGTAGCAATAGGATCGCCAATATCCCCAGTCGTAATAGATACATTTATGGATAGTTGCGAAAGCATGTCTTTACAAACGTTTAGTCCTGCACCAAAAATATGGTAGCGATATATGGATGACACATTTACTGTTTCGAAATCGAAACATATCGACAATTTCCTCACACATAATACTCAGTAGTCGGTGCAATCCAATTCACTTATGAGGTAGAAAATGAGCAAGGAGAATTACCTATATTGGGTTGCAAGATAAAACGAAGGATAGACGGTGATTTGGATACTACCGTCTACAGAAAACCGACACATCCCAACAGGCATCTAGGCTTCAAGTCATCTCATCTAGTGTCAGTTAAGGCAGGTTTAGTCAAATGTCTAAATGATAGAGCTAAAAAACTGACTAGCCAATGCAAGGACCTAAACAAGGAATTGAAGCACTTAAAAGAAGCGCTAATGGTTAGTAAATATCCTCCGTCGTTTACTAAGAAGTTCGTAGGAACACACAAGAAACGGAGAGATAACAGTAACACGAGTACGAATAATAATGACAACACAAGCAGAAAGGTGTCCACAGCCTACATTGTATTACCCTTTAGAGAAGGTACATCAGAAACTTTACGTAGGATCCTCAACAAAGCTGAAATTAGGGTGACATTTAAACCTACAAACTCACTTAGAGATAAGGTTTGTCAGCTGGCTTGAGGATCCGATAGAACCAATTAGGCAAAATAATCTAATCTATCAAATTCGATGTTATGACTGTGAGGTCAAGTACATAGGGCGAACTAACCGGTCGGGTTCAGTTAGAATAGCCAAACATTGGAATTTAGCTAAATATAGAATGACAGACCCGAACAAAACTAACAATCTGGGAAAAACTTGGCTATCGCAATGCATGCATTAATACACAACCACACAATAGGGTGGGATAAAACCACTGTACTTAAGTCCAATATAATTAGGTGGACAGAGAGATTGATTACTGAATCTTAATTTATCGAACCGACCCTCAAAACCCATGCCAGAGACATATAAGGTTCTACTACCAATAAAAATAAATCATATGAGTTGACGTAACCATAAAAATCAAACGTTGAAAGTAGTGTGATTACATTGATATGATTATGAGCTATAATTAGTGCTCGAAATGTCATCAAGTAAATAATACTTTATCGCTGTGTGTTATAAATCAAATGAACAAGAACTAATATGGAGTATCCGGAGACGCAGTGCTACAGAAAGCAAAAGATTTAGATGTAGTCATAATGGCAAGTGACTTTAACGCTCAAGTAGGGAAGCTGAGCCGAGTCAATCAAAAAAGCATCTTAGGGGGGTATTCACGGAATCTCATGCCAATGAACCGACAGTGGTGATCTCTTGTTACAATTTTATTCTGACAGTCACCTGTTTCTGGTCACCACTAACTTAAAGACCAACACGTCGCATAAGTCCATAAAGTCTCTGACTGTTGATTTGAGCCGTGTTGGAAGATGTAGACTAACTGGCTACGGGGATAGGAATCAGCGGTTGAGGAATCGGTCGCATAGGAGCAGATGTATTCACTCTTTGACGTTTTCTAAAGCTTGAATATTCGCAAAGTATTTATTCTCCCACATAACTTTGTCTACTTTGATATTAGTCTTTTTCTTTCCACTTGTTGTTTGTATACTACTGTGAATTGTGGCAACTTTAGGCGGTACATTTTCGTGCGAGGTCATACGTTGATTCTGATTGTCTGTAAAACACAAGCAGAGGCACTGTATCACTTGGTGTCCGACGACACCAAACCAATAATGGACATGAATTGATCATATTGCTGTAAGCAATCATTGGAGAGGGTCAGCTGAGGATTACCGCTCTTTCTGGAGTACCTCTTCGGACTCCGATCACGCGGTAGTACAGGCTCGTGTATGTCTGCACTTTGCTGGTCGCAGGAAACAAGTGATAGGAAAGCCTGTCTATGGTCGACTGGGAGATGAGAACGTCAAGCACGCATCTAGGGAAGGGATAGCTAGGTGTTTGTCTGAACATGATTATAATACTCATCCTGAGGAAACCTCGTGTGATATCAAGTCTGC